TAGATAAACGTAATATGGATAAAATCAATAGGATAATCGTTAAACAGTTTCATTACCTATCCTAATACTCATTTACAGGTGAATGTTGTTCTTGTAGGAAAATTTTGAAAATATATAAATGAATGAAAAAGAATACGGCATCAACGTAGACCACAACGATATTCGAAATCCGGGTTTTAGTATTGCCAATAAAGCTAAGGGACAAGCTGTTAAACTGAGCCTGCAATTTCGTAAAAATAAAATCACAATGCACATGCTTTTTACATAAAGTTATTAAATACAAATATAACAACATTTTTGTTTACTTGATTTTTACGAATCAAAATAAAACTAATTACCACAACATGACATTAACTGCTAATAACAACAGCTCCTTCCACAGGCCCCAAAAAAAAGCATTCCACAAGAGACGACGCCGCTAAAATCATTTTAAAAGCATAGATACCGACTTAGACCAAGAACCGTTCGCATCAATATCAAAGATATCATTGAGAAACGGGTCAGATTGAATGAAATCATTAATCTGAGCAACTCGTGAATTAAGATAGCCAGCTATTTTAGAACCGGCGAAAGTTCTGTTTATCGTGCTCGTACTAAAGTAGTAAATTTTGCAGTTATCACGAGCTAACTGTGACCTAACGGTTGTTTTGTTTCACTTAACATAGAATAAACAGCCCTTTTATCACACCAGATTTCCTATGTTCAAAAATTGTATAAACGTTTAATGATAAGAATCCGAAAAGTGTGGCATACCTTTAGTTTTGACAGCGACGATGCACACACGTTTATATGACACTTGATCACATTTTCCTCTAAATATCTCGTATTTTTGTTTCAGCACGTAAATCATCGTATTCAAATGATGGAAGGAAAACACGTTGTTGTTATTGGTGGTGGGTCGTACAGAATGAGAAACTTCTGGCTGGATGCCAAAAAATATAGTATAAAGGTATCCGTGCATTAATTTCTGTGCATCAACTTCTGTTTGTAAAAAACTGGTTGCATGATTACCTCAAAATTGTAGTAAATATAATTCGATAATATATTTATACATGTATATGTTTTTATATCAACCCATCTTCGTTTAAATTTCATGATGTGCTTACTTCTTCAGCTAAAAACGATATTGTTAACATATGCAGATAATAATATGAAAGATGCATTTGTTATTCGAAATTCATTCATTTATTAATAATATGACCTTATTACCTAACTTTATAATACTTGTACATGTATATATTATATGAAAATATATGTCAAAGTACATATGATTAAACTTTTGTAATATGTTCTAGATATGTGACATGTTTATCATAATTGATGTTTATGTTTTCAGATGCTATACATGTATTTATGCATATAATAAGTATCTTTAAATGTTTTGAATGTATACAATAACTATTATTGATTCCAGGTTATACTTGTGGAATCTGATCCAAATCATATTGCACGAGATCTTGTGCATTGTTTTATAGAGTATGATTTCTCTGATCATACGAGGGACCGTATGCATGCCGAAAAAATAATAAATAAGATACATGGTATGGGGATGAAGATTGATGGTTGCCTATCTTTTAAAGGCATATTAACACCCTTAGTTGCGCTCATTTGTGAATCATTAAAATTAAGAGGTATGGTATTAATTTTTAGTTTTTAACTTTTTGAGATAAATTATCATTCAAAGTTCGTTCCGAAAAATTTTGCGAATTAAATAAATTTGAGTTATTCGACATGCTTTTCTATTTGTTGTCCAATACATTTGCCTTTAAAACGAATTTTAACACCATTGAACACAGTTGTTCTTTTCATCGATTCTTATCTGTTATGCATATAAAACATAAACGTGTTAAACATTTAACTAATTCAGGTCTGAGTTACAAATCAGCGATTATAGCAAACTCGAAATCACAAACACAGAATGTGCTGAGCATGAACATAAATGAAAATGATGCGTCAAATACTGATGTATTTTCTTCACTGGCAGTTCATCTAAGAAGTGATTCGGACTGTGAAATAATACCGGAAAGGTTGCGTATAACGTTTAATTCCCTGTTGATTAATTTAACGTTATTTAGAATGTGTGTGCATAACGCTCAAATAACAAGCATTGTTAAGTTTAACACACATGAAAACAAGATAGTACATTTCGTAATATAATTTAGTGAAAGTCTTCATTTTTTTTTAATTTATTTTATTTGTAGAAAAACAACTCTGTGTTCCTTTCAGTAATGTTATCTTTAAAAAAATGCATCATATCACTCTAAAGCAATCTTCAAAACAGTGTGCCGAGAGATATTCACAACGCGCCTGTGACGTTCGTTTGTAAAACTAGAAGATCGGATATAGTTATGTTGATACCGCCCGATTTAAGTATTTAAATATTCATAAACATGATAATAATAATATTTTGTTCTAGGACAATTTATTATTTTCTTTATATTTATACAAAATGTAAATATGTCATATTGGAATATGCATCGCGCAATAATAAACACAGTTCGTATCTATATTTCGTAGTTAGTTATTACGTATTATGTTATATACTATCAACATATGTGACAGTGTCGATGGTATTATAGACCTTCAATTATTAACCAATGCCTTTTAAAGAGACAGATTCATTTATTCTGCCTTTCAATAGAGAAAACATATTTTATTTTTATAATTTTCTATGAAAACAAATCGCAAACATTACGATCATGACAAAAAATGAACATCAACCATTATCCAATGTAAATGTTAATCAACGCGGTATAAAAGCGGTTGAAAATTGCTGTACATGCATAAGTTTAAATTCTGGAAACAAAGTGATCCCTCGATCGGAAGCATTAATCACAACAAAATTACAAGAAAATTGCAGACTCAGTTTGACTGAGTCTGTACATGAGGGATAATGAATAAGTGCAACATCCTTCGCCCCCTAGCACCGGCTTGAGCGGAACTCAATTCTCAACACTAAACAGTGCTGGCATCAATGATCCCGAAGGACCAGAAAATATTACAACACTGAAGTGAAGTACGGGGCAACTTTTTACAGCTGCCACACGGCACTTGACACCTGCTGTTGTGAAGTATAAAATTCTGGAAACAAAGTGATCCCTCGGAAGCATAAATGACAACAAAATTACAAGAGAAATGCAGACTAAACTTTCATAACTAATTTGGGCCTTTAATTGCATGATTATGTATATAAACATACTCAGTTAACAGTTGCATGATGCACTTTTCCAAGATAAAGTCAATGAAATACTGAGTTGAAAAGTTACTGAAATACTTAGTTTGAAACAACACAAAATTGTCCTCCAACAAACAATATAAGCTTAGGGCCGCTTTAACTTTCCTTCGTAATTAAACCAGAACAAATGTTATGATGTTTTTTTTTGATATTTTAACTTTGTTTGCATCATTACTTTCAGTTTTAAGTTTCCGGCGATACTGAAACTAGATAATTGTTCAGGAGGTGTCGGAGCGTGCATGGTTAAAAGCAAAGAAGAACTGAAGAAACAATTTCAACAAATTACAAGTTCTCTAAGCACAGATTCGGACTTTCCCGGGATAGGACTCAGTCGCGGCAATTCAATGACAGCATCTGAATTTCACTCTGGTACAGAACATAATGTTGATGTCATTTTGTATGACAAAACTCTTGTATGGGCATCTATAACTGATAGCGGGTTAGTGAGACAGCCATATTATATAGGTAACTTCTCTACTTACTACTATGTTACAGTCTTAAGGTACGGATTATAACATTTTGACCCTACTTCAGGTTTTATGAAATCAAAACGAAAACAAGCAAAAAAGTAAACTTGGTAGAAAACATTTTCGAGTTCGTGTTATTAACTTATTGCTAATAACTTTATTACTAAATGTTGATACAAATTATTCCGCGAGAGATTGGGTGTTTTTGGTACAAAAGCATCGAAATACCAGGCTATTCTATTTGTATAAGAGGGCGTATAAATCAGATTGCCGAGGGTCTTATTGTTTTTTCTCTTTTGTATCATAGACACAAATGATATTAAACCCTAAAAAAATGTAACAAATGCACGAGCATCTGAATTTGTTCTTTTTAGCTCGCCAGAGCCGAAGGCTCAGGGTTAGCTATTAGTATCAAAGGGGGATACTCCGTCATCCGTCGTCATGCGTCAACAATCGTCTTCTTCTCTGAAACTGCTGGGCAGATTTACTTCAAATTTGGTCTGTTATTCTTTGTGACAGTCACACTTAAATTTGCTCATGTCATTTCAATTGGCCTCTTCTAGGGGTCAACAGAGCTAAAAATAGAAAAACCTTTAAACATCTTCTACTACATAACGAATTGATGAATGATCACCAAATTTTGTCTGTAGCATTCTTGGGTAGTCTTTTAATCAAGTTTGCTCATATTGATTTGATTGGCCCCTTTTAGGTGTCTCTAGGGCTAAAAAGAGAAAAAACTTTAGACATCTTCTTCTACAGAACTAATGAATATCACTAAACATTGTCTGTATCATTCTTGGGTAGTCTTTTATCAAGTTTGCTCATATTAATTTGATTGGCCCCTTTTAGGGGGCTGCTAAAGCTAAAAATAGAAATACCTTTAAACATCTATATCTATAACACTACTTGATGGATGATCACCAAACTTTGTCTGTAGCATTCTTGGGTAGTCTTTTATCAAATTTGCTCATGTTAATTTGATTGGACCCTTTTAGGGGTCTCTAGGGCTAAAATAGAAAAAACTTTTAAACGTCTGCTTCTACAGAACTAATGGATGGATAATCATCAAACTTTGCATCATTCTTGGATAGTCTTTTATCAAGTTTGCTCATATGAATTTGAAAGGCCCCTTTTAGGGGCCGATAAATCTAAAAATAGAAATACTTTTAAACATCTATATCGAGAGAACTAATTGATGGATGACTACTTATAACTTTGTCTGTAGCATTCTTGGCTAGTCTTTTATCAAATTTGCTCATATTTATTTGATTGGCCCCTTTTATGTGTCTCTTGGGCTAAAAATAGAAAACCATTTAAACGTCTTCTTCTACAGAACTAATTGATGGATGATCACCAAATATTGTCTGAAGCATTCTTGGGTAGTCTTATATCAAGTTTGCTCATATTATTGTGATTGGCCCCTTTTAGGGGCAGCTAAAGCTAAACTAAAATTTAAACGTCTATTTCTACAGAACTAATTGATGGATGATCACCAAACTTTGTCTGTAGCATTCTTGGGTAGTCTTTTATCAAGTTTGCTCATATTAATTTTATTGGCTCCTTTTAGGGGCCGCTAAAGCTAAAAATAGAAATACATTTAAATGTCTATATCTACAAAACTAATTGATGGATAATCACCAAACTTTGTAGCATTCTTAGGTACGCTTTTTCAAATTTGCTCATATAATTTGATTGGCCCCTTCTAGGGGCCACTAAAGCCAAAAATAGAAAAACCTTTGAACATCATTTCCTACTGAAATAATTGATAGATAATCACCAAACTTTGTAGCATTATTAGGAAGTCTTTTATCAAGTTTGCTCATATTAATTTGATTGGCTCAAATGTAATATCAGAAAATTTTGACAATGGATAATTTCCAACAGTTGTTTCTGGTGAGCGACTCAGGGCCATCATGGCCCTCTTGTTTTCTATCGTTATCTCTTTTCCTGTCGTCGCAATAAGTAAACCCTAACTTTTGAGTGCGGGTAACTACATGTATAATACATGCAATCAATTTAACTTAAAGGGCGGCTTGTATATGTATACCCCGACTTATTTTTTAACAGAACAGTCCCCGAACTATGATACAACAAAAATAAAACGTAAAGGTAAAACAAAGATGAAAAAAAGAGATTTACAAAAAAATGTATATTGCAAAATCCTTGACAACATTTTTTCTAAACATTTTGCCTTTATTTTTTACTCATTAGGTACTGCTAAACGTCTACCTTCATTTCTACCAGACGACAGCTGCAAACAGCTGATAGACGCTGCTTTCAAATGTTGCTTAGGGATAGGTAATGTCAAATTTACTCAGAATATATCTATACATGTACTAAAATATAAGATATTTTAAACTATTTGTATTGGTCTTTACATTTTTTTTCTTGATCTTTATAGACTTTATTAGTTTAAATAACTGGTTTCATGCACCCTCTAAATTGATGATTTTCTATTAATATCGAAAAAAAACAACAACAAAAAACAATCTTATCCGAGTGAGAATACGAAAATACGCGACAATTCAAGTTATAACGATACCATGGTAGTGAGTGTGAGAGAGATTGAGTGAGTGAGTTGGTGAGTGAAAGTGTCGGTGAGTGTCAAATACAAATAATTTGTACGTGATAAAAATACATAAAGCCACATAATATATAACAATTATAAGTGATCTTATCATGTATGTATGAAATGTTTTAAAGGTCTAACGGATGGAACGTTCAACGTTGAGTTAATTATGACAACAAACGGACCGAAACTGATAGAAATCAATCCAAGAATGTGTGGATTCGTCTTCAGGGATTGGATAATGAAATTGTACGGAATTGATATCATGTTATATACAATGATGATATCTTGTGGAATAAAACCTGAAATACCAAACATTTCAACGGACACAATACAGATGGGCGTAATGGTTATACCATCTTTACATGGAAAACTTTTGACAGATGAGCATTACAAAAATAAATTGAGTGAAATGATTGATCGTGGCGAAGTCTTTTTTCTACAGTTTATTGAAAGTTTAGAGCATCTGTCTACTTACGAGGAGCCGTTTGGGAATGTTTCTGTGTCTGGTATAAATCCGAGGGAAGTAAAGAGAAAGTTGCTGGATATATGTAGAGCGCTCGACATTGACCAAAACGATTACCAGGTTGACACTTTTATAAGAAACTTCTGAGTGTCAAAATGTATTATGAACATGTTTGTCTTGATTTTTTTCAATGGAGATAGAAAATAAAAAATATAATCAAATAATTGATAGTTTTATTGTAAACAATTAATATCAATTTACTTAAATATTGGAAGACATTTAAATACATGTGTACCGGTTTCAATACATACAATAAAATGTAGTCCAGTGTATTATTTAGTGTGTGTGTGTTTTGTTTAAGTTTTATTTTTTCTGTTGTTCAACATCCTATTTGGCTATATCACGGCGGTTTAGAAGATATTGAATTAAATTTTATTCCGCTGCAAAGCAGACAGTCTTATATGACTTTAAATAAGAAGTATGATTTACTGCGGAATGACACGATTCATTTTGCGAGTCGTCAATAAAAAACACAAATACATGAAAACCTTCACATACATCAGCTTTACACTTCATGACCAATTTTAAATTTCTGGTTTTGTTGCAAAACATTTATACATTTTTTGTGTATAAATGTTTTGTTTTGTATTTACATTTTCTTCAAATGGAAAGACAATATTTTCTTATCTCCTTATATATATAATGGACTGTGCAATAGTCTGTAGTTTATCGTGATGTAATATCGTGGAACCAGGCTAAAATAAAATCATGCGTAAACAAGTTGTCTCCACCTAACGTGGAACCGTTTCGCATTTGGACAAAACATCATAAAAACATCTGAATATACATTGTATATCCATTTGTTGACTTTTAGAAACTAGGAAACAAGTTGGTTTTGAAGAATTTTTTTAAGGTTTTGTATTTTTCTTTTGAGATGATTTGGATAGTGCTGTGCGGAAATAGTTTTGGTTTCAAAAATTAAAATAGCCGCCTTTTAATAGTTTTATATAGTAAAGCGAGGTCACACTTGTGCTGTTTCACTTTGGTTAGATTTGGTAACGGTTCTGACATCATTATCGTGGATCAATTGTTTAGTAAAAGTTTATATATCGTTTAATCGGGAGATAATTAGTTCATGTTCAAGGCATTATGATAAACCATTACAAGCAACACTGTCTATATATTAGGCACACGATGTCGGATTTCTGGCACATAATTACATTGACTTGAGCATACTCGTCCTGTCACAGTATAAACGAGTACTATTAGTACTGCGCAGATCTTAACAGACATTGGTCTAGGAAGCATTTTAATCGAATCTTCTAAAGGTATGCAGTGCTTATAGCCATTCCATTGCAGCCATTTTACGTGTGAGTAAAACTCGCTTGTTTATTATTATATAGACTAGAACTCCGCGAGTCGGATGTGTCGCCTTGTGAACAATGTAGTTTAGGGGAAATGGCCAGGACAAAAATGAAATATGAAAAATAGCAAAGGGCAATAACTAAAAAAATAATGAGTGCAGACCAGCAGTTTCTGTACACTGCACTTCTTATCAATAAGATTTATCATTCTATGATGTTTCAAGTCCATAGCTTTCATACTTGAGGAGAAATGACCAGGACAAAAATAAAGTAAGAAAATCAACAAAGGGCAATAACTCAAAAATAAGAAATGCAGAGTATCAGTTCTTATGCACTGCACTTCTTTTTAATGAGATCTATCATCCTATGAAGTTTCAAGTCCATAACTTTTATACTTTCGGAGAAATGGCCTGGACAAAATTAAGTATGAAAATGAACAAAGGGCCATAACTCAAAAATTAAGAAATGCAGAGTACCAATTCTTGTGCACTGCACTTCTTAATAATGAGATCTATCATCCTATGAAGTTTCAAGTCCATAGCTTTTATACTTAAGGAGAAATGGCCCGGACAAAATTAAAGTATGAAAATAAACAAAGGGCAATAACTCAAAAAATAAGAAATGCAGAGTACCAGTTCTTGTGCACTGCACTTCTTTTTAATGAGACCTATCATCCTATGAAGTTTCAAGTCCATGGCTTTTATACATTAGGAGAAATGGCCCGGACAAAAATAAAGTATGAAAATTAACAAAGGGCAATAACTCAAAAATTAGGAAGTGCAGAGTACTGGTTCTTGTGCACTGCATTTCTTCTTAATAAGATCTATCATCCTATGAAGTTTCAAGTCCATACCTTTTTTAGTTGAAGAGGAATGGCCCGGACAAAATTAAAGTATGAAAATTAACAAAGGGCAATAACTCAAAAAATAAGAACTGCAGAGTACCAGTCCTTGTGCACTGCACTTTGGGTTATTGAAAGAAGCATGCATACCAAGTTTAAAGTCAATCAGACTTATAGTGACTGAGTTATGCTCCGGACAAGCTTTAGGGAACGCCGATAACGACGCCGACAACGACGCCGACACAGACGCCGCCGACACCGCCGACAAAAGTAACCCCTATATGTCACCTTTTCAAGGCGACACAAAAAGAAGATTTCCTATTTGTTGAGAAAGGTTATACTGTATTATGTTGTAAATGTGAAAGTTGACTTAAGAGTGATATTCACGCTAAAATCATAACGACAAAGACACCTCTTCTGTTACAATTAAAGAGAATAAACATAGCAAATGATAATGTTGTGATTCATATTATTTTATTGCAACTATTCTATACATAAGTACATCTAAGGTGAAAAATACATCTCAAAGAAAAATACAAAAAACTCACTTAACATGTTTCAGATACATATTCATGTCCAACGGATTTGTGTACTTGTAATCAAACGAATGTTACATAAATGAGATAATTAACTTTAGTTGAATCATAATTTATAGTGTGTAGTTAGCCATAAGCACGTATTTTGTGTTTGTTCATGGAACAAACCAATACACAGCAATGAGAGTAAAATTTGATCGGCAAAGACTGGTTTCACCCTGGCATGCTTTAAAACCATGATTCACAGATGACTAGCTGATGCGTTAACCACTCGGGACGCCGTCACAAAAAACAACAACAACACCCCCCCCCCCTCACAAAAAAAAACGCAAAAAAGCAAAGCAAAAAACACACGTTGTTAAGAGAAATACATTTAATGTTCAAATAACAAACTACCAACCAGAAGGTAGTTGAGGATTCTCGCGAATAACCAACTTTGTTCGCTCCTTTATTTTGTATGGAACGCCATTGCTGTCTCATATTATTACATTTCTTCTTATCTTGCCTAGAAAGCTTCTTATTATGTCAAATATAAGCGTTCGTTTAAATGCCATTGTAATTTGTCGACTTGTCTAAACATTGCCTTATTATACCTAACAGTAGTCTTATATATTAAAAATGTGATGTTGACTTGTGTTAATATTGTTTAATTATTTCAAACAGTAGTGTTATCATGTCAAAAATGTCCTTTTGGCTTGTCTGAAATGTGTCATATTATGTCAACTAGTCGCGCTATTTGGTCAAATTGTGGAGCTGTTTTTTCAAAAGACTGACAGTAGTGTTCACTTGTCGAAATTTGGTGTTAACTTGTAAACTTGTAACAGCTTTATTTTATCAAACTGCCATGTTATTTTGTCAAAATACGGTGTTTTAATGCCTAAACATTGTCTTATTGTGTCAAACAATTGTGTTAATTTGCCAACGTACACTACTGAATTGTTTTTTTATATAAAATATTCGAATAATTATCTTGCCGAAATGGGGTGTTGACTGAGCTAAATCATGCCTTTTTATGATAAACTGTATGCTATTTTGTCAAAAAGCAGTTTTGACTGGTTAAAACCCAGTCTTATAAAGTAAAAAATTGCGGTGTCTTGTCGAAATGGTGTAATGACTTGTCTAATCTCTTTCTTATAATGTAAAACAGAAGTGTTATATTGTCAAAATTTGATGTTTTCTTGTAAAACACAGAAACAGTCTTATTGTGTCTAATAATTGTGTAAATTTCTTCAAATTTAGTTCTGTCTTGAGAAAGCACTGTCTGATTTTGCTAAACTGTTCCGTTATCTTTTTTGGTCTATCTTTTATCGCTTCGCGCGGGCTCTGGTCACGTTATATTAAATTTTGACAACATCGCATCTGGACAGGATAACACGATTATCTGACATAATGAGACGACATTTAGACATGTTAACGTCATAAACTGGCAAGTCAACGCCACTGTATTACATAATGATACTGTGTTTCAACAAGTAAACACCACATTTGAAAAGGAAAAAAAAAGATACTTCGCCATAAAAGGAAGATGTTTAGTAAAAATAACACCGAACCTTGACAAAATAAAATGACACTTTAACAAAAAGATTTTTATAATTTTAGACAAGTAATCACAACGTTTCGACAAGATGATATGACTATTTGACATAATAAGACGAAGATAGACAAGTTGAATCTGCATTAGGACATAATAGCCTGACAGTTTGACAAATTAAAATAACGTTTTAACAGTTCATAACCATACTTTGTAAAGATACCATCATTATGTCACATAATAAGACGGTGTTTAGGCCGGTTAACATAAAGTTCGGATAAAATAGCATAGCGATCTGAGAAAATAAGGCAGTGTTTGGCATGTCAATACCATCTTTCGACAAGTCAACAATACTGTTTGACATAATAGAATAACGTTTACACAAACAAACAAAATTTATTGGCAAGTCAACATTAGTATTTCACATAATAGGTATATTTTTAGACAGGATAACAACAGTTTTAGACAAGTCAGCATGATGTTTTGGCACAATAAGACAGAAAAACACCACCTCATACAAAGCAACAAAACAGTTTGACAAAACAGGACAGCAATCAGCCAGGTCAATAGAGCGGTTAAACAAGACTAGCCGACATAATAAGACATGAGTTTGACAAGTTGACACCAAGTTCCGACAAGATAACACTACTGTTTCACATAATGAGACAATTTCTAGACAAATTACCACCACAGTTGGACAAGACAGCATGCTATTTTGACATTAAAGATATTCTTTAAGCAAGATAGCACCGAATTTGAACACAATGACATGGCAGTCTGACAAATTGTGACGGTGTTTAGACAAGTCAATATCACATTTGGACAAGACAAAACGACAGTATAACATTATACAACAGTGTCATATAACATACCGGGATCACAGTTGGACAAGATGACACGACACCAACTTCCAACAAGAAAACACTA